TGATCTGTTTCCAATATTATTGTAATTAATTTTGATCACATAATCCTCTTTTATTGTTTTTTCTGTAACTTGTGCTAATTGGTCTGCCATTTCACTAAACTAGTTTCCTTAATGTGCTTTTACCTTATGTAACTTAATTTGTAGTTCCAATTCATCTATAATTTCTTTTATAGTCTGAAGTGTAAAAGGATTTTTGACTTTATTCCATATATAATTTATTTTTCCTTTATTGACTATGTTCATATTATCTATCACACACTTGATATCCGTGTATATATTTACCTGGGAACTTTTTGGCATTACTGTTAGTGCTGTTAGTATTGCCATGGGAATTGTTCTAAGTTACTTCGGAATGTCATATTATTATTTAATTCTTGATCTAAAGTCACCCAATCAAATTGAACTCCATATTCTTCAATGACTTTAAGATGTTCATCCCTTAATGTAAATAGTCCCTTTGGTTCCGCAAGGTTTACAAATTTATCTTTTACAATAATCTTTTTATTTCTTCCTCCTTCTTTACAACACCCTCCTCAAAATATTTTCTTAAACTACTGGGACTAAATATCCATGGATTATCATAGTCTATTCTAATTTCAATAGTTTCAAGCGATTTTGGAACATTCTCTGCCATCTGACATAATAATTTATTAGCATCAAATCCTTCTCCCATACAATAAAATGAAAATCTTCTTAATTCATTAAAATTATTATTAAATATTGCTATAACTTGTTCAAGACTTAATATATGTAGAGTTAATTCGTTAATCTTTGTACAATACTTTAAAATTGCTGAAAATATATCAAATGAAATTGTGGGATATAATTATAGAAAATATTTTTTAAATTAATATTGGCCGTTTCAAGAATTTTTATAATAAATTCTTGATGATACCCTTCAGCATGATATTCGAAATGAAAACTACTTAATTAAGTAAATGATGAAGCCAATAATAGATAATCCGATCTATGTAATCCATCACAATGTTCAATGTAAAGCTCTTGAAGTGAAATAAATCGTCCAATAGGTGATAATTCCGCCTCAAAATAATCGAAACTTACGTGTTTCAAATGAAGGCTCTTTAATGTTTCTCTTTGACTAATGATGGCCCAAAACAATAAATCACGATCGTCATAATACTTTGTAACAATTTTTAGATTTTCTAACCGTTTTTGAACACTAATAAGTTTTGTTAATAATTACACTTGAGGATATGAGTACAAGATCAAATCCATATTTAAAATATTTTTACAAATTAATATTAATGATTCGCATAATGGAAAAATCGATTTATGATCTATTATCGAAGTAAAGCCTTCTAATTTCATAAATACATTTGGGGCACTAGGTAACTTGTCCATTAAACAATTAAATCATTATAAATAAAGGGAACTTTCGACAATTTAAAATAATCCAGAAATGAACAACAATTAACTATTAATTTACATATCTCACGAAATAATATTCTCGATTTGGCGATGGTGATTTCGTTAAAATCGTTGTTATCTTGATCCGAACCAATAATTTGTTATATACTGTATATATGGAAATAAAATCAACTAAATTATCAATTATAAATTTATGAGTGAATGATGGATAATTAATAGTAGCTTGAGGTGGTGATGATGATAAATCAAATCCATTTCGAGTAAGTGAAGTTCTTTGCTTGAGTATCCATACATGATATATAAGTTCGAATACATAATGCTTTCTTCCAAATTATCCACAGACTACGTTCTTGACCCAAAGGTAATTCCCAAAGTATAGGTGCAGTAACTTTACACCAGATTTGATTAACTAATATTGATGAATATAAATCTTGAGTTAAAAAGGTGATTGAAGATTATTTAAGGAAATTTTAGTTGCCATTGTGTTCCCTAAGAAAATAAAAAGATATTAATATTTTTGATCTGATCTACGGTTACAAATACACAACATATATTTAATTAATTAACATATATAGAGGTTTGTGTTGCTTGGTTATGCCTCAGATCGACTTTTTGCGTCAGATCACCACTGAGGTACGTCAGGTGTCACCCATTGACCAGAATTATAAAACCAGCCTACGTTGATCCTTTTAATCTCACCCTAACCCTACCTTAATTTTGGCCAGTTTTGATCTGACGCAAACGTTACAATATGTATATTTGTGCACAGGAACAATCTCTACTATTAGTAAATCGTTTGTTGTCGCCTTTAAAAGACTTTTATTAATCCTATCGGTTTATTTAAATTTTGTAACGTGATTTTTGTATCTTTGAGATAATAATTGTGTAGCCTCTTTTTCGGGGCTTTAATAGGAACAGTATATAAGGTACATTATTCAGAATTGAAGTTGAAACTTCGTTTTGTGCCAGTTGAAATTGTGCGGTGGTCAAACATAAAAAAAATAAAAATAATAAAAATAATCAGAAAAAAAAAAGAAATGTGATCTGATTTATAAAACAATAACCAAAAATGAAGAATAATTAATCAAGTAATCGATTATAATTTTCAATTTTGAATTATTTTTTAGTTTTTTATTTTATTGACCTTCCTAATTTTTTATTATTTCTCGTTCTATGTAATTAAATAAATTCATATGAATATTTAGTATTTCCAAATTGTCAATATGCACGGCAACTAAAAAATTGTTTCTAGAAGAAACTTATTTTAATAATAAATTATAAATTGTATACCATAACTAAATTGATCTGCTATTAACTATAATAATATTATAATAAAAATATAAATAATATGATAAGAAAAATCTTTTTCATGATTCTGTCCTTTTAAAGGAAATAATATTGTATAAATAAATAAATTTTGATGATTGGATGTAAATTAAAAAAATAATAAATTAAATTTAATTCATTCAAAATTATTTAAAATTAATTAAAATTAATTAAAATCTTCCTTAAAATTCAACAGTAATTTTAATCAAACCTTTTCCGAAAATTTGTATTGAAAATTAAAATATTTTATCAGTTCTTCAATATTATTATCTTTGAAAAAGAAAGTTGATTTTTATGAATGCAATGAATATAATGTAATGTAATGAATACAAAATGAATAATGTTTTTTTATCTTCGAACAGAATTGTTTCTTATTCTGATAAACATATTCCAAATGTCATTTCCCTTCTGGAAACTTTTTTCTTTGTAATGTATCATTTTATTAAGTTATACTTTTAGTTTTCTTTTATTTAAGAATCAAATAAATAATAAATGTTTAATAGCTTTAAATGATCTATAATTTCAACTTTTTTAGAATTTGCGTTACTTTAACTTTTTAGTTTTTTTCGATAAAAAAATAAATAATTATACTAAAACTTATATATATATATGTCTTCGATCTTTAATACTAATTATATAATACCTTCAATATTCAATTATTTGATATTTAAAATTATTATTGTTATTCAAAATAGAAATAAATAATTAACCTATACTATACAATATCGTTTTATTATTAATTGTCGCAACATACTAAAAATTAAATTAAATTAAGACTTCAATAAAATTATTTTTTATTTATTGTTCGATAAATTTTCGTTAAAAAAAAAATTAGAAAAGTATAAAAATAATAATAAAGTATGAAAATGATAAATTAGATCATTTTTTTTCATGATTCTGTAATACTAATTAATATGATCGATTTGCTCGTCATCATACTGAAGACTTCTTCAATGAAAATATTCTTTACTGCATTTTGATATTATTCTTCTATAAATTTTCATTAAAAAATAAAGAAATAAATTAAAAAAGTATAAAAATAAAACTAAATGACAAATTGGGTCAAGTATTTGCCACTTTATCTTCCATCTTTCTCGTGATTCTCATTATTCTCATTATTAATATTTTTAAATTGAAAAATTTTAAAAAGTTGGTTTATCCTTAAATTATTTGTTATTATTAAATTAAAAATAATATATTAATTACATTAAAATGAATTTTACATATTTTTTAAAAATATTTGTATAAATCTATTAATTTAATTTGCATTCAAGAGATAATTTTTTATAAAATCTTACAATGAAATTATCAAAAACTCAAATAAATTTTTAGCATATCTTCTTTTTTTTTAAAGATTCAAATCTTATGCTGACAACTTTTACTAATTATCAAATATTTATAATGACATTAATATATTAAAAATTAAATTAAAATATGAACGTATGATCAAAATGTTTCCATTAACATGTGAAGTTTTTACTTATCTGTAGTGAAGTGATAATTAAAGATTACTATATTAAACCCAATAAAATAAATTAAATTGATGAAATTTCTTTTTTATCTAGACCTTTTGTTGTTAAAAAATAATTTTACACTGGCACCGTTGAGATTTTGCTTTATAATGGAAAAAGAAATTTACGTACATAGTATTAATTATTATTATAATATTATATAATTTATTAATAATTACAAAGGCATACTTTATAAAGAATAAAATCTTAAACTTTACCCACAATTCGCTTTACTGCTATTTATAGTAAAATTTATAATACTGGGAACAGTAATTATGAATTATTTATAGTAACCTTTATATTAATAATGTTAGCGTCATGTATAATTGATAAGATGGTAATTCTTATTATTATCTCACGGTCTCCTGATTAGTCACTCATGATTTTTTATTGATATTTTCACGGTTAATTTGCGGTTCTAATATTTCATTTTGCTAAAAATATATATTGTTTAACTAAAAAAGTCTACTGAGTCTTTTAACGCCATGAAAATAGTCAAAAAATTGTCTCGATAAACAGATTATACTATATTTACTGCTCTGATGTGTGAAGAGTAAATTAGTAACGTAAATTCATTTCGAAATCGACATAAAATGACCCTTAATCGTCTTTTCTTTTCTTTTCTTTTTTGAAATAAACTCGACTTTAATTCTAAAAAGATGCAGTTTTTATATCACATTCTATATTTAGTTTTTATCTTCGCGTTATTTATTTCCTATAACCCAACGATATGCCACAGGTACAAGTATTCTCCAGAAGAACTTATCAACAACCGATTATTCTACATTGAACCGGAAAAAACTGCCTTTTCTCTTGATATTGAACCCATAAGTTATCCTGATAAATGTGAATTAATACAATTACATTTGAATACTAGACATGGTAATTATTATTAGGTCTACACATACGAATTTGACAGTGTAAATAATCTTTTAAATTAATTATTAGGATCGAGATATCCGGCTCTGCAGGAAATTACTTCCTTTGAACAATTAGAAAAAGTATTTGCTAATGTTACTATTGCAAAAGAATGGGTAATATAATTATTTTCCATATTTAGCAAAACTTGTCACTACTTAAGTTTAAGAATACTTTTCTTTTTAGTATAAGAATCCTTTTCCGATGAGGAAAAATTATCAATTGTTTAAGCGAGGAGAAATCGAAGCATATTTTGATGGTTTACAATGTCGTAAAAGATACGCAAAATTTTGGGAAGGAGTTGAATATGATCCTGAAGTTATAAAGTTTCAAAGTACTGTTACTTCGAGGTAAAATTTAACATATAAATATAAGTTTTCATGATTTCATTTCGCACAAATTTAAAATATAATATCCTAATGTTACTATTTAAAGAGCCGGCATGTCAGCAATGGCCTTTGCTGAAGGATTATTTAATGGCATGGGCTCTTTAGATACTTGTAAAAGTCAACCAGTGTATATTTCTTCTGTTCCTACGGTAATTTTTTTTTTTTGTTACGCCATTTCTAAATATTTTTTGTTCAAACCCGTTAACATATTACGCCTTATATAGGAACAAGATTCTGTGTTGAGACCAAATTATTCTTGCTTACGTTTTAATCAGACCGTTTCTAACATTACTAATAATGAATACCTCCAAGAACAAATCTATCCATATGTAAACAATACCCTAAAACAAATTGCCGAGCGTCTTTCCAAAGAATACGATATCAGTCCACCTCTTGATCCAATTTTAATACCAGCTATTTTTGATTATTGCCAATCTTTGATTACTCATTTTAATCGAACTGACACGTGGTGCTCATTATTAAGTCCTGATGAACTTCTACTATCACGATATTATTACGATCTTAACTTTTATTATATGTTTCAATATGGTCATCCTTTTAGTAAACGAATGGGATGTGCCTATTACACTCAACTTGTAAATGGAGTTGAAAGTTATTTAAACGGGACATCTTTTATGATAGCTGATCTTAAGTTTTCTCATAGCTGGCCTATGACGTTACAACTTACATCATTAGTATGTTAAAAATTTTCATTTCCATTCCCATTCCTATTTTATTTTATTTTATTTTTTAGTTTATTTATATATCAACTTTTAATTACAGGGACTACTTAAAGAAAAATTCAAACTCACGGCAGATTTACCCCTTGAAAAAATCAAACAAATCAACACGACAGAACGTGTACATGTGCATTGGTCTTCTACTCTTTATTTTGAAATTTATACTTGTTCAGGTGATCACAAGAATGACATATTGGTACGAGCATTACTTGACTTTAAACCACTTTTGATTCCGGGTTGTAAAAGTGAATATTGTGATTGGAAAACATTTAAAGAGATTCTTGGTGATCAGATTGGATGCGATTGGGACAAGATGTGCGCTTATCCGTGAAGTATGATATTATACGTATATCTTAAATATTTTTACGCAAGAAATTCTTTTTTCCTATAAATTATTAAATAAAATATGATTCTACCAATGTTATGATGTCATGTCATTACAATAAAATTTGTTTCTTTTTTCTGAATAAATTAAGTGTAAAAAAAAATACACCACATTTATTTATTAATCACAAATAAACATTTTATTTATTTTTTCTAAGTGAATGGTTATTATATTCATCATTCTTTGTTTTGCTTTCGTTTGTAATGTTATTATTTCAAAGAATTATATTTATTTATTAAATAAAATCATTTTTAAACATTCAAATATATATAAATAAAACT